CCCCAAAACCCCAAAACCCCAAAACCCCAAAACCCCAAAACCCCATATTGCTATAAAAATCTTGAAATATATTTATTCTTAACCCAAATGAACCCTAAAAGACTAACAGTGTCCAATAGATTAAGAGGTAAGTGTAATTATGGCAACTGGTAACCTTCATAGGTCCTCAGAACCATAGCAAGGTACATAAATTAGCAGTTGATATGAAAGTGTCGTCCTCAAAACCCAAATTTGGGATGAAAATGGTCAACTCTATCAAGAAAATCAGTAATAGACCTTATGCTTCAGGACCTAATGAGGACCTCAAAAGCTCGAAATTTCCTCAAAAATGTAAGTAGATTTCTCAAATTTCGCCTTTAAAGTGTTTTGCTGATTAGTAAAATAGCAGCAAAGATTTTTCAATTCCCTCCCTCCAGAACTAGCATGGAGATTTGTAACACCATCGACTCAGGTTCTAAAAAAGAAGATCTGCAAATTATAGGACGGTCTAAACTCTCTGCAGAAGAGGTACTTCCAAGGTAAGCCAGGTTTATTACAAAAATGGGTTTTTTAATTTATAAATCGTACCACTAAACAGCTTTAGAGCCAAACCATCTACAGCTATTGGGATGAAACGAGTGGGCAGCATGCCCCAGCTCCATAATTTTAGAAAATCGAAGTCTAGACGAATGAAAAGAGTTGATAAAATGACCTATGAAGATATCAATGAACTTAGTAAGAGAGTTCTCATAGAAGACCTACAACGAAAATGGATTAAGAGAGAAAGAGCCTCGATGACTCAAAGAGAGTCCCAAAAATAGACAGATATTAAGTACGTTTGCTCCCTAATTGGCTGCTGATATTTTTCTAGGTTCTAACGAAGCAGGATATGCAGACCCTATCTCACTAATTGCTAAAAAGGATTATTTCAAAAGACTTGGCATGCAATATAATTATGGAGAAGGGAAATAAGCTGAGTCTCAATGTAAAATCAATCTTTGACAGAATGGCTAAGTCGAATCTACTGAAAAAGGAGAGCAAAACTATTGATAAGAGGATCCATAGTTCGTTCGGTCGCAAGTCTAGCCACTCAAATAGCGATAAAAAGGTACGAACGTTAGTTCCCAATATAAAGATTAGTTAATTTAAATTTTATTTTGTCAATTACTTTTCCAAGAGCTTGTTATCAACATGAAAATTTAGACCATATTCTCCAAAAGAAAGGGGTCAGCAACCTCAAGGTATAACCCAGATTACTCCCCACAGAAGATTTCTCAAATAAACTACGGTGAAAATTTTACTAAAATGCTGAAAGAGACGATCATCAAGGATATTCAGAGGTAAGCGATTCAGGTTATTTCTCTAGTGACGTGTTCAGAGAGATGGCCCAGGCTGAAGGAGGGGTGCCAAAAGCAATGAGAAATTCCTACTTGCCTTCAAACTTCAGGTCTACCACCAAAGTAAACACTCTTAAAGCTTATTTATAACTTTATAGGCGATCCCATTGACCAAGAAAATTAATAACAAGATTGATTTGCACATCCAGAAACATCATTTGGTATTGGAGAAGTGAATATTGGACAGAGCCCAGGTGCAGAATATGGTTGAGTCAGAAAGCTCGACTTAGATCTCTGGATAACAAGAGATAAACCACCATTTGTAATGCTCGATTATTGCAAAAATTTTCAATTACAACTCTTCTCCTTGGGGTTTTGGGGTTTTGGGGTTTTGGGG